CTGGTGAGGAGACCAGGTCAGGACTGAATCCATGAGATTCTGGGGGTACATGAGTTTGAAGATTAGGGTGGAGCCATCTTTAGGAATAGATTTTGGATTTGAGATAGGGTTGGAGATAAGCAGAAGGAAAGAAAGAAGGGAGGGAGACAGATGAATGGATAGAGAGATGGACAGATGGGTGGAAAGACGGGTGGATGGATGAAAAGATGGGTGGATTGATGGGTTGGTGTATGGATAGATGGAGGATAAATGGATGGTAGATAAATGGAAGGAAACAAGGAAGAATGAATGGATGGATTTTGGATATTAAGCAATTGAATATGTTATTGGATTGCTGACTGGTGGAATGGAAGTTAAGCAGAAACCCTGCTGGGTAGACTGTTGAATGGATGAGTGGTTTGACAGACGGATTGTTGGCTAGCTGCCTGGCTAGGTGGATGGCTAGATTTACCAGTCCAGTGATGAAGAAAAATGACTTCAGAATGGTGTCTGAATTAGAAACACCATCTAAATTAGTAGGAACTAAGACTAGGATTCAGTATGAGACTTGGGGTCCCACTGGAGATCTGGGTGGTCAGGCTAGAGCAGATAAGAAATGTAAGGAGCAGGTTTGAGTGTTAGGGTTAGAAGAAAGCTTGGTGGAAGCGAAAAGATCTTCTGGTTCAGTTTGGGGTTCCAGCGATGACATACTAGGGGCTGGAGTACAGAGGTTGTAGCCCGGTGTGGCTGAGGATAATCTGGAGAAGGTGTTGGGGGACACTAGAGGTAGCCACTGGTCTGAGGTTCTGAATTCTTGAACTCCAAGAAACCAAATAAAGAAGGAGCCGAGGCACCCTGACCTTCATCTCTCCTTGACCCCAGGGCCTCCCAGAGCTGCTGGTGAAGCGGGTGATGGCCCAGCTGGCCGGAGCCCTGGACTTCCTCCATGGCCGGGGGCTGGTCCATGCGGATGTCAAACCAGACAACGTGCTGGTCTTTGACCCCGTCTGCAGCCGTGTGGCCTTAGGTGACTTGGGGCTGACCCGGCCTGAGGGCAGTCCAACCCCTGCCCCACCGGGGCCACTGCCCTCGGCCCCACCCGAGCTCTGCCTTCTGCTGCCCCCGGACAGCCTGCCCCTGCGGCCAGCAATGGACTCCTGGGGCCTGGGGGTGCTTCTCTTCTGCACTGCCACTGCCTGCTTCCCTTGGGACATGGCACTAGCCCCTGACCCTGAGTTTGAGGTCTTTGCTGGCTGGATGACCAGCAGGCCCCAACCCCCTCAGCCACCCCCACCTTGGGACCAGTTTGCACCCCCAGCCCTGGCATTGCTTCAGGGGCTCCTAGACCTGGATCCCGACACTAGGAGCCCCCCACTGGTTGTGCTAGACTTCTTGGGGGATGACTGGGGGCTAGAGAGGAACAGAGAGGGGCCTGGGGGCTTGGGGGGCACGTCTAGTGAAGATGCGGAGGAGGAGGAAGAGCCAGGAGCTAGCCTGGAGGAGTGGACGGATGAAGAGGAGGAGAATGACAAAGATGACAAGAGGATGGGCCCAGATGGGGGAGCTCCCTGGCCAGGTGACTGAGACAGGTGGTCAGAGCCTGGGCCAAAGGCCCCTCCGCCAGCACCCCCCTCCCCGCCCTGGCCACCTGGATGGAGACAGCTGCTCCCGGGAGGACAGAGACGGAACACACTGCATCTCTCCCTGCCGGGCGCTGGGCAGGGCTGCACAATTCCCCTCTCAACTAGGACCTGGGAGTCCAAGACCCAGCCCCTCCTCCCTCGACCCGGAGTCCAGGCCCCCAGCCCCCTCCTCTCTCAAGGACCCTTCCTCTTCCTTCTGTCCTCAATGGGTCTTCTAGGAGGAAGGCACTGCTTCCCTATAGACACACTTCCGCAGTGCGGGGACATGCTGAGCGCCTCTCATGGAGTTCTGATGGGGCCACTCATCCCCACTAAGACCTGGTTGACTCTCACCATCCATGGCGCTACATCTGAGCTTTCAGGATCCAACACCATGGAAACCTCACCCTCTGCACATCTTCCATTGCCCTGGGCTCCGGGTGACACTGGGGAAGTCACTCATCCTGTCTAGACCTAAACCCTTGCACACACACACACACACACACACACACGCACGCACTTTCCTGCCACGGGCCCTCTGCACACTCTGGCTCCTCCCCTGAGAACACCTTTCTCACAGCTCGGTGCCTCCAAGCTCTCTCCAGCCTCATCGCGAACCTGTATGCGGGCGATCTATGTCTCCCGTCTTTTTCAGCCTCACCTGTTTGGGCTGCCCAGGATGGACGTGGTTTTCCTCCTCACGACATCCTTTCAGTTCTGCTCCCCCCTGTGCCAGCTCCCTACCGGCTCGGAGCACCGCGCCGTGTGACTGTCCCAGCTTTGTGGGCCTTGGGCTCCGTGCTGAGAGCTGAGGCTGGTGGGGATGAGCTTGCCTTCACCTGCGCCGGCCCGTGCGCCCCACGCGTCTCCAGCGCGCGCCTGGTGCCTGATGCTTCCCACCTGCAGGGCAGGGGCGCGAGCACGAGCGTCGGTGTGTCCCAGTAGCCAGCTGAGGCTCAGGAATGGGGAACTGCTCCCCCCCTCCCGGGGAATCTGTCCGGCGTGCTTTCTAGACTCAAAAGAGTGGGTTCACGAAGCGCAGTGGGGTGTCCCGGATCGGACCCCGGGGGACGGCCCAAGGTTGTTGGCGCAAGTGCTGCCGAAACAGGCAGGGCCTCGCGCCAGACGGATGATTTCTTGGTTTGAACAAATGTGCCGTTGGCTGCGTGAGATACCGACCTGGTGGGGAGCTGGGGACGGCCCGGCAGCTCTCGGCACAGTGCTTACAGCTGTTCTGGAAATCTCAAACTGTTCCGAAATAAAAGGTTTGTTTAAAAAATTAAGGGAGTTCACAGTGGTCATCTTGCTGCAAACCGGAGGAGGGGATGTGGCATCCCAGGCCCCCAGCCCTTCCTCCATCAGGCCCAGGAGTTCCTGCCTAGACCCCCACCAAAGCTGAAGTCTGCAGACTCAGAACGAGGGCCTCCCCTCCCCGCTCCTCCCAGGGGCTCCACCACCTGCTTCCCCTCAGCCCCAAGTCTGAGGTCATCTCTCACTGCATCGTTCTGGAATCTGGTTGCCTCATCTTTCCCCAAACAGGACCCCAGTGTCCCATCCCCTGGACACCCCTCACCAAACACTTGTGTCTGACCTGTCAATGGGGCATCGATGGGGCAGCTGGGTGGGGTCAAGGCAGGGCCAAACTAGAGAAATGATTTCATCCTCCACAGGGGCCCGGACTCCTGGGTCTGAGGGAGGAGGGGCTGGGGGCCTGGACTCCTGGGTCTGAGGGAGGAGGGGCTGGGGGCCTGGACTCCTGGGTCTGAGGGAGGAGGGAGCTGGAGACCTGGACTCCTGGGTCTGAGGGAGGAGGAGGCTGGGGGGAAGGACTCCTGGGTCTGAGGGAGGAGGGGCTGGGGGCTGGACTCCTGGGTCTGAGGGAGGAGGGCCTGGGGGCCTGGACTCCTGCGTCTGAGGGAGGAGGGGGCTGGGGGCCTGGACTCCTGGGTCTGAGGGAGGAGGGCCTGGGGGCCTGGACTCCTGCGTCTGAGGGAGGAGGGGGCTGGGGGCCTGGACTCCTGGGTCTGAGGGAGGAGGGCCTGGGGGCCTGGACTCCTGCGTCTGAGGGAGGAGGGGGCTGGGGGCCTGGACTCCTGGGTCTGAGGGAGGAGGGCCTGGGGGCCTGGACTCCT